TGGCATCAACTTGCTGAGTTGTGTTGCGCAAGGTGATTGCTCGAATCCTGAGCAACCGCCTCGTCAGTCAGGTTGTGGAACCGAACGTGGCGGAAGAGCAATGTGGATTCCGTTCGGGTCGGTGTTTGCGGCTCGTCAGTTGCAGGAGAAGCGTAGAGGACGACACCAGCCGTCGTAATCGTTTTCGTGGATTTCACCAAAGCATTTGATACGGTGATCTGTGAGTCGTTGTGGCCGGTGTTGGGTAAATTTGGTTGTCCGAGTAATTAAAGTTTAATTGAATGTCTGCATAGTGGTATGCTGGCGAGGGTGTAGCTGAATGGACAGACCTCGGATGACGGCAGTTGTCTCTGGAGTGAAGCAAAGCTGTATCTTAGCTCCTGCCCTGTTTAATATTTATCTTCATGCCATGATGTCTCGTGCTTTTGATGCCGTTTGTGCTTACGGTGTTCGTGTGAAGCACTGTATTGATGATCCGTTGCTGAACATCCACCGTTTCGGTGCGAGAACTCTAGTCTGTGAGACAACTATTCGTAGGTTGCTGTTCGCTGATGACTGTGCGTTGTTTGCGCATAGCGCGGATGAGTTGCAGCACATGACTAGGACTCACGCTTCGACAGCGCCCAAATTCAGACTCACCATCAAGACAAGCAAGACTTTTTGTCTTTTCTAACCTGCACCCGGAATGGATTCCGTGGGCCTGCCCCAAATCCAGATTGCCGACGAAGTGTTGGAACCCAGTTCGCAATTTCGCTATCTTGGTAGACGAGGGAGCTACGCAGCCGCATAGCTAAGGCGGGTGCTGCTTCTGGCAAGCTGGAATGCCGTGTGTGGAACAACCACTAGCTCACTGTTGGGACGATGCTGCTGGTATATAAGTCTATAGTGCTGTCTGTTTTTCTATACGCAGCGAAAACTAGACGCTTTATCAGAACGATGTCCGATATCTGGAGCGCTTCCATCAGCAGTGTCTGCTCCGCCTTATGCGCATCGGCTGGAGTGACCGAATTGCAGACACGGAGGTGCTCCGACGCAGTGGCATGTATGTAATGGACTGCATAATGCTACTGAGGCACCTGAGGTGGCTCGGGCATATTCGCCGCATGTATTCGACCCGAATACCGAAACAGATGCTTTATAGCCAACTGAATGCAGGGAAACGGCACGTGGGAAAACTGAAGTTACGTTACCAGGACAAGACCAAAGTGAGCCTATCGCGTTCTAAAGTTGATCACAGGTCATGGGAATCGAAAGCGGTGGGTCGGCATGCATGGCGCGACGTGAGCACGAAGGCAGTCGCTGAGGTGCAAGAGAAAGCCCTCGTGCATATGAAAAAGAAGCGACAAGTGAGGAAGCGACCGGCACCGATGGGCAGTACTACATCGACGTCGAGCATATGGTGCTGTAGCATATACGGTCGCGAGTGCTTGAGTCATGCAGGCCTATTGAGCCACGAGCGAGGCCAGTCAAAACCAGCATCGAAGCGATGACGAGTCCTGCTGGGAACGTAAGCAGAACCGGCGCAGCGTTGGTAAGCACGCTGCATTTGATTTACTAACCGCGTGCTTGCGTGCTGTTTCTTTATTTCAGAGATGGGTTTGTTATCTTGTCTTAATTCTTTTGTTACCTCGTTTTAACGTCTATCTGGATAATTTTCTATTAACATGCACACGCCGCCCAAGCTGACTGCGGTTAACATTTTCGCGTTTGAGGCATTTTAAAAATAGAGCTTATGGCATTTTGAAGTTAAAACGGATTTGTTAATAGCCAATATATTGCGTATGCTAATTTAGCGGAGTTAAGTCGGCATATCCGTATGCCTTGTCCGATTTACTTTATTTGATATCGTCATCCCAAGTGATTGGCTGTCGCCTGCCTTGCGTCAGTTGTTGGAGCACCGTCACATATATTGGCGGCCCACCATTGTCGTGTTCCTCGATATCAAAGGTTCATTCGATTCGGTGGATAGACAAGCACTTTGGGACTGTCTACTCAGGAAAGGCGTACCTGAGAAATATTTGAATATTATCCGAGCATTATATGCGCGTAGCTCGGGCAGAGTGAGGGCTTACGGCAAGTTGTCGTCGCCCTTTAATATCTCCAGCGGCGCGAGACAAGGATGCGCGCTGTCACCTTTCCTCTTCAACTTCGCTGTTGACGAAGTCATGGAAATCGCGTTTACAGGACACGACTTAGAAGGTGTGGAGCTACTCCCAGAAGAACGACATCTTGATTTAGAGTATGCTGATGATATTGCCCTTATCTGTGACAGCTCACAAACGTACCAAGCGGCACTGGACAGATTAGCACTAGCTGTCCGTCACTTCGGGCTTTGCTTCTCACCCTCAAAGTGCAAAGCGTTTCTCCAAGATTGGTCTGGACCGCCTCCTTTGCTGACCCTTGGTGGGGATCAGCTAGCAGTCGTTCAAAAATTCAACTACCTGGGAAGTTGTATCAGCGCCCGTGGGATTGAAGATGAAATCACGAATCGTGTAGCAAAAGCTAGAGGCGCTTTCGCTAACCTTCGCCACTTATCGCGCCGGCGCGACATCACTCTTGCCCTGAAGGGTAGAGTGTACAATGCAGCAGTACGTTCGACCCTACTGTACGGTTGTGAAACCTGGCCCCTAAGATCAGCGGACATAAAGAGGCTAGTTACGTTCGACCACCGGTGCCTTCGTAATTTAGCTCACATTTGGTGGGAACACCGCGTGAGCAACGAGCGTGTTCGACGCCTTGTTTATGGCACAGGAAAAGGAAATGAACCGCTCAGCACCGTTATTTCACACATCAGGCTCCGATGGCTCGGCCACGTGTTACGCATGCCAGCCCACCGACTCCCGCGACGAATGTTGTTTGCGCGCCAGGGGTGTGGAGGGAAGAGGAGAGGTGGACAAGCGATGACTTGGTCCAGAGGAATGAAGGCCCTCACTTCTGAACTGGCCTCGGTTGGAGCGTCTCGGCTCTCTGGTTGGGGTCCGAAAGACGATGAACACGTTTGGTTGGACACACTTGCTGATATGGCTAGGAGCCGACCTCAGTGGCGTTCGTGCTGTGAGTTTCTTTGTCCCACCCCATCCCTCTTAGCCTCCCCCTCCAACCACGATCTCATTACTTAGCCTTATATAATTTTGCATAATAATTTTTTTGGGTGCACAGCAGCCGGCTGGTAGCTTACCGGAATGATGCCCATCCGTTACCGGTAGCTCAGCCAGCTTTCACCAGTTGTTTTCTTTTTCTCTCTCATTTTTTTCTTTGTATTGCGGCAAAGTAACTGAGGTGTTCCCCACCTCCAGCTAACGTGTATGATGATGATGGCTGTCGCTTGATATCCCCGGTGTGGCTGTGCTTGATGTGCATGTTGACAAAGTGCTTAATTGTCTATTACCCACCACCTCGTCTACACTGGCTCCAGGAGACAGTTGATCTTTGCTGGAGGGGACGGGGTGCACGGTCCTTGTGGTCGTGCTAGGCTCGAAGAGTATTTCTATGCACATGGTTTGTATTTGGGGCGGACTACGGTCCAGCCACCGCCTTGTGTGCACTTGATTCCCTAAATACAGCATGCTTGTGTCTACCTATGGAGCGGTTCTGTTGATGAAACGTGGTTCCCATCCATATGGCTCCCGGTTTTATTCCTTCGGGTTTATACTAGATGTGAGGTGTGTGGATGGAGCTGTGGGTGGTGTAACGAAAGTCACCTACAGCTCCATCCACACACCTCACATCTAGTGTAAACCCGAAGGAATAAGACCGGGAGGCATGTGGATGGGAGCCACGTTTCATCAGGGGAGCCGCCGCACGCTCCTTCATAGGTAGACATAAGCATGCTGTATTTAGGGAATCAAGCGCACACAAGGCGGTACCTGGACCATAGACCGCTCCACATACAAACCATGTGCATAGAACCACTCTTCGAGCCTAGCACAGTCACGAGGACCGTGCACCCCATCCCCTCCAGCAACGATTTTCAGTCTCCTGGATCCAGCAATGGAGGTGGAGGATGATATACAGGTAGACACCTTGTCAACATGCAGATATAGCGCAACCACACAGAGAATATCAACCAACCAACATTGAATTTAAGGGAAAGCAAACACGCAAAATAGACACAGAATAACATAATTGAACAAACCAAATAAAGTGGAATGGCTTTTATGCAGATTAAAAAGAAGTTTAAATGTAAGTCTGGCTCAACTGCGGTGAAGAAGCATCAGAAATGGAACACCAAGCTCCGTATGAGGCATGCATATATAAATATATATATATATATATATATATATATATTTGCTACACGAACACTGTACAGTTGCGTCGGTGTATACCGTCTACCAAAGCTAAAGCAAGCTGCAAGGAACTCATAGACGGCCAGTCAGTGACATGGCAAAATGATATGAAGAAACCAAACGAAAGACCGAGACGGGTTGGTGCATACTATTCTCCATGAATAGGAGCATTAAGGCAAGTCTAATTAGCCATTTGAATTCCTCATAGACGCATAGACTGGAGCTCTTATATTTGCTTTCCAGTCCCTGACCCTTAATTATCCCAGTAGGACGATTCAAGTTCTGCCTACTCTCTAGAGATGGACTATTTTCCCACTTTGCTATTGCCGATCTAGCTTTTTTAGTAATAATATAGGTGAGGTGATTCGCGACAATTGAATCAGGTGAGTAAATAAAGTCGCTTGTGACATTTAGTAAGGAGCAATGCTGCTGAAAATCGACGACTGTGCCGAACGGCTTATATCACTGCGAAGAAGAAGGTAAGACTGTTCAGCACTTTGAACCCCTTTACTAACGTTTTCAGAGCCACAAGCAGATAAGGAGAAACGCACACTGCAATGACACAGGTAATTTTACTCCAAAGATTTTTGTACTTAGTTAATGCATGTGAATTGCTAAGTGGATTGAACTCACGAGTGTCGATGACACTGTCAATGAGAAAAGAGGCGTCCTCTCAAAAAGATAACCCTCCATCCAAAACTCTAATCGTAAAGTTCAACGGTAGATGACTAAACCAGAGAAAGTATACTTACGAGTACAATAGGTCGAACATTGATCATCCTCAGCAACCGGCCGGTTGTCGCCAACAAATGAGAACCGATTGCATTTCAATCCGGAGTTGTAATTAGCACTGGTAGAGTTTCCCAGGGATAAATAAGAGTCGGGCACAGCGGTGCCGCTGCGATTGTTGGATAGATGAGATTTTGACGGTTTTAGAAAGCGCTCAAATGGCTGTCCTGCAGACCAGTTTGAATTTTCACGCTTGAAAAAGGAATTACGGGAGGGAGCATCTGAGGACTGTTGCTCGAGGCGAGCTCTTTTTGGGAGCAAAGAGCTATTTGACTTCTTCAGTAAAGAGCGTTTACGCCCAGGTGCAAGATTAGCCTGACAACCAAACCTTTTTCTTTTCATAGATGGAACATATTTTGCTTTAATACGAGCCGATAATCCTTTTGACTCGCATAGATCGCCTCGGGCTACAATACGAGGATTGGAACGGTAAGATATACCGCCTGCGGAAGGAATTTCGTGCAGCTGGCCTTGAGAAACTAAGAAGTTTAAGGCTGTGAGAACCGAGGTTGCAGATAGATTGTATTGACGTCTGCACAAACTTGAAACAGCTGTTTGAACAGGGCGGCGACGGGATTCTCTCAGCTGTAACACAACATCCATGACCTTGGCCACATGAGAGTCGGGTACCGACTGGGGAACGACGGTAGAAACGGACCCAGTTTGAAGGTCAGAACTGGAACTTTTCTCAATCGTTTGTTGAGATTTTTTCCTGACAGAAGCAGGATAACCACGCTTTCTCTCTGTCGTGTTCCGAGAGCCGGAGACCGCTGAAACATGAGCCACTCCTTGGTGGGTTTGTAGATCTTTTGTGCTGTGAAATTCTTGTGTGGGAGACGCTTTGAGCATTATGGTTACAGATTTGCGGCTGGGTTCCGGACTTAAATCAGGGGATGCATTAGCGGACTTCGTTTCTTTGGTACTTTGGTCGACATTTGAAGTAACATTAAGCGCAGAAGTTTGTTGGTTTAGGGAAGAAGAGGGAAGCAAGTCGCAATGCCGTTTAACTTTGTTATTTTTGACAGGGACCACTTTGAGTTTAGAATTAATTGATATGGGGGGATAAAGACCTTCGGCAGTGTTGTAGCTAGAAGCAGGTTTCCTGCCTCGACGTTTGCCAACTGGATTCGTCAGCACTTTGGGAACCCGGGGGGACTTTTTTGAAGAGGAGGTGGTTGAAATACTCGAGGTAGTGCTGTCCCTACTCGATGTTCGAGCGGCCGAGTGAGACGCGCTGGGTTTACCAACTGCCTCCAAAACGCGTGATTTATTTGGGTGGACCCGATCGGCAGCCACTGGGATAGTACCGTCCGAAGAGTGTGTGGCTGTTTGGCAAGATGAGCCTGAGGGAACTGAACTCGGTTGTGTGATGATTGAGGTTGGTCGAGTGAGGACAGGTAGGGAAAGGGAGGTGTTGGTCGCGGGTAAACTTTGGGGGACACCAGGTTCAGCGTCATGTTTTAGCGCAGATTGACCACGGTTAGATAAGGAAACCATTTTGTCAACCGATGACTCATCAAGGCTATTTTTAACACCGCGTTTGGTGATGGCAGTGCGGCTAGCAGTGGGAAAAAGATACTCAGTAGATTTGACACGCTGATAGTTAACCAGGGGTAGGGTATAACGCCTTTTCCCTGCAAATACTTTTCGGTACCGGGTGTGAAATTCCTGAATTAATGGATGACAAGGTTCCTTGAGACTAGTGAAAGGTTCCCATGAATCCTGTTCGGGAGGAAACCCTTTCCAACGAACACGATATTCCACTCTCCCACGCCGGACCCTCCGATCGACAATGCTTTCCACCTGGAAGAAAAGATGGATATCATAAATAGACAAAAAAGATGCAATGATAAAGAAATGTACATTATGATGAGTCAAACGGTTTCATTTCGACGGATGTAGCGAAAACAAGTACCAAGGGCTGGACAAGCAAAATCTTTTCGTATTCGTGATAGCGATTAGTGCTAAGAGCGAGAATAATAGACGATCTCTGAAGTCAGGCACGGAGAATATTAGACAAAAGGCAGTGGACAGAGCACCGTACAGAATAGATTTGTAACAGTGACATGTCAGACAATCAATGACACTGACGTCGACTGAGAACTTCGAACGAGTAAAGTGTTTATCATCGACCGGAGATAAGCAATATGGGACTAAAACATTAACAAAATGTCAAAAATGATTCAGTTTTCGAGAGGGAAGAGCAACTTATTACCAAGAAGACGATACTGGTTCTTCAAAGCCATGTTGCCTTGATTGCATATTACATGCAAAAAACAATATGGGGCTTCACAGTACAAAATTGGAATGAGTATAACAGCCCATCATTACGTTAGCTGAAGGTGAAAAACATATCGGCTTCTGCATGTAGTAGAAAAAGATACCACATATGAAGAAGGATTTACTAGAGATTACAGAATGCAAAAGGAAAACAAAGTAATATGATGCGTAGCATCGCATTATGCGTCCAGTGTGAGATCATGGATGGAGCGGGAAGCTAAGCGGGATGAGGAGGGGAAAAGGAACTTCTAACGCAGATGTCATTGAGGTCGGCTCTTCGTCAAGTCAACAAGTGTATTCAACCAAACGCGTTCGTATTTCGGGTCCTAATCCGGTAGTTGGGTAACACCAACCGACGCCAAATTCGAAGTGACTTCATTCCCCTTGGCCAAGCCACCACTTGGGTGCCCCTTTTCTTCTTCCATCCACAGCCGGTCGAGCACAAAACGTACGACGCGGGAGTCCGTGTGCTGGCATGTGCAAAACGTGACCCAGCCATCGGAGCATTGGGCGTGATATAACGGTGCCGACCAGATCACTCGTTCTTCTTGCACCAGACATGAGACGCTGAACACGCTCATTGCTCACGCGATGTTCCCACTAGATGTGAGCTAAACTGCCAAGTCAGCGATGATCGAACGTAGTTAGCATATTTACATCTGTCGAGCTGATGGACCGGGTTTCGCAACCGTACGGAAGGGTTGAACAGATAGCTGCATCGTAAAATCTGCTCTTTAGGATGAGGGTTATGTCGCACCGGCGCCACAGGTGGCGGACATTAGTAAAAGAACTTTTGCTATACGGTTCGTGAACTCATCTACTCCACAAGCGCTAATATAGCTGAGTAGATACTTGAGTTTCTGAACGGGTTCCGACGGATCACCACTAATGGTAAACACAGAAATGGTTCCCTATCATGGAGAACTTACATTTCGAAAGTGTAAACCAAAGAACAAAACGGTTAATAGTCAGTACTACTCTGTCCCATGCCGCTTGGTATATTTGTGAACTGTCACGAATACGAGCAATATCATCCGCATATTCCAAGTCAGAGAGTAAGTCACCTGGGAGTAGCTCCACATTTTCAAGCGGTGTTCAAGAAACACAGTTTGCATGACTTCGTTGATGGCGAAGTTAAAGAAGAAGGGTGATAGCGGGCATACTTGTCTCACATCGGTGGGGATACTTGAGGGAGACAACAGATTGACATAAAACATTACACTGCCCGAGTTACTAGCGTAAAGCGCTCAGATAATGTTTGTACATTCCTCGAGAACACTTGTCCCAACACAATCCTAAGAAGTATATGGATCCAGTAAATCGGAAGTCGAGGAACATGACAGACATGTAAACTTCTCACTTAGTACTTGTTTTCCATAACATTTCAGCCAACATGCCTGGCTTACTGAGTAAAGTTTAATCTCTCGGCCTTAGACTTTTCCCATTTGTCGTGTTCGTCCTCATCCAATTCCATTATAATTTATTCGGCAAGCAATGAATCGAATTCTTCGGCCAGAAGGTTTCGATGCCAATCCAAACAACACGGACTCAGCGAAACAGTGGACCAATCGGTCTGATAAGTTTACTTTCTTTGTACAGAATCAACTCACTGCTGTTCAGTAAGTTGTGAATTCTGGTGAACTACGTGTCCCCTGATGCATACGACTGCATTAAAGATTGAACAACCTACGAACTCGCCATCGAAACTCTCAGAACTATATACATCAAGCCAAAAAAAACGAAACCTTTGCCCGCCATGTTTTAACTACTAATAAGCAACAAGTGGACGAAACTCGGGACACCCTCATGCAGAGGCTGAAATCACTGGCCCAGGATTCTAACTTAAAAAGGTCACAGAAGAAAATAACTGCGAAGATGGAACTCGAGATGCGTTCATAACTGTGCTTCGACGTATCTTAGAGAACGCGTCGTTCGATCTACATACCGCTTTCTAACAAGCCCGATCCTCCAGATGGCTTATCATCAGTCAGTTATATCAGTCAGAAAACGCTTACGGTGCACCTAACGTAGATCAGTTCTAACCTTTGTAAGCGTCGAGGGCTTCATTAGTCCAAAGTATCGATGTCGCCGATATTGCGTCGATTAGCAAGTGTTTCTTTTGCAAGTTCAACACAATGTCCTGCGCGCGAAGCCATTTGTAACGGTTGTGGAAAGGACTTTACCAGAAGGTCGGGCGTTCCCCATCCAAAAATACAGCTTCGGCGCTCCATGGTTGCCTATCCTCTCTCACGGTTGTAGCCGCGCCAAACGATCTCTCCCACGCCGTCATTAGCAACGTTCCTCAAAAGCTTTGATTGATACTGGAAGTACTGAAAGCTATACTATCGCATCAGTTGTCAAATGGTTCAACTGGAATATACTCGGTTCTCAGTGAAGGATTTTGATGGCCAGCACGCACATAAAAAGTTTCATTAGTGGTCACCGCCTTGTCAAAGTGCAACATAAAGACCAGCATTACACGGGCGTTAAACTGTACTCTCGAGACACGATTTTCTTAAGCGCCACTGTGTTGTCCAAATTCCAATCTATGGTGAATAACCCCCGTCTCATAGTGTGCGCTATTTGTCGGCGATGTGAATCCTTGCTTCCTATTAGAAACGATGTTTGCGTCTACAAACTGAATGCCACAAACTCGTGGCGTCACTCTACTGCAGATGAGTTTCATTTGTGCAGAAATACAAAAGCTTCATAACCGTTTGTGTCCTGGCGGTACTTATAAGTAGCACCTAGTTTAAATTGTAATACAGATTCAGTGCAAGCATCATTCTTGCCGGTACTCGCGAGGATACGTACAATAGCCTTCTGTCGACAAGTAAGTAAGGACCAGAACTCCGATATTTTGTTCTACAGCGTGTGGAGTAGACATTTGTGGTTCATGTCGCTATAGGTAAATTAATCCAAAACTCAAAGAGTTAAGGACAGAGTCATCGAACCATCGCTATACCCGTGGGGAGCTCAAGTTTTAGTGATTACGAAGGAGACTCATAAACGCCGTAGGTTACAGCCAAGCCATCATCAATTACACTCATCTGGGTGCGTAATTCCTGCCTAGAATTGACGTCCTTATTAACAAGGTCTCCCGTTATTCAGTGTGTAGCACTTTAGACCTAAAGACTGCATATCATCAGATTCATAGTAATTCAAACGAAATGAAATCCATGGCAGTTAAAACCTGCGGAAATCTCTTCAAGTTCTGTCATGTACCTTTTGGTGTAGCCAAGGAGGTTACCTGCTTTGAAAGAGTCGTCGATAAAGTATGGCAGACGATAATGAGAACATTTGCCTACATTAACAACATAACGCTGTGCGGCGCAACCGAGGGAGAGCATAACTGCAATTTAGCAAAGCTTTAAGAAGTCGCTCGAAAACACAACTTAGTATCCAAGGGGAGGCAAAAGAATCATACATTCGAGGAAGATAAGACTATTGGGAAACAAAGTTTCACATGAGGTTATTCATCCAAAATTAAACCGACTTTTACCCTTGAGATGCCTACCCGTACCTACTGAGCTCAAATCTAAACAGTGTGTTGCGGCACATACTGCATATTTTTTCCAATGGATCGCACATTTCTCTGGAAAAAAACCGCCCGCTAAATGACGATCGATGCTTCCACCACCCGAATTTGGTTTTGAGGGTATTCGAAAAGAGCAAAAAAATAAAAAGCTGTGGTCATCGCTGTTGGTGATTCCATACCCGCTGCAGCATTTGCGCCATGAAATCCCGATTTTACAAGTCGTACAGAACGCTCATCAAGGCGACACACTTTACCGAAAGATTAAGTAAAATTTCAAAGGAACTGTGATGATGGCGGGCAACAAGAAATACCTGTTTACCATCATTGACGAATACTCTCGCTTCACGGTTGTCTTCGCATGTAGCGACATAACCGCATCAACTGCGATTAGATGTCCAAGTCAACTATTTGTAGTCTTCAGGATGCCACTTTATACTAATCCTGATGGTGATTCGTCGTTCATGTCTCACGATGTACGTCACTTCCTAATGCAGAAAGGTATTTCAGTCAGCCGGACAATCTTCAGGGCAATGGATAGGTGGAATGCATTAATCAGTCCACTAGGAAATCCAGTACCTTTTAAGTAAGATCGAACGGACTCAAAATTAATCAGTGGGAAAGTGTGCTGTTAGACGCCTTGCATTCTATTCTTTCCTTTCTCTGCACCACGATCATTATCATTACACATAAGCTGAATGTGAAAGACAGATTGCAACTATTGTGCCGCAATGCATAAAGATAAAACAAACGAAAAAAGGAAGAGGCTGAAGATAATAGAACGCTAAAAAAACAGACGACAGACTACTTAGTTACATAGTTTGCGTCAAGAGGAGTATCGTGGTTGGAGGTGAAGATAAGCGGGAAGAAGATGAACAAAGAAACTCACATCACAAACACAAGTGAGGTCGGCTCCTTGTCAAGTCAACTAGTGTATCTAACCAAGAGTGTTCATCGTCCTTCAGACCCCAACCATGCAGTCGGGACA